AACACTCCAAAGAGAAAGGAAAACTTGAAATCGCATCATATGACCCCTTTAAGATAAAAAAAAAATACTTTTCGTACTTAAGTACAATAAATATCATATACTTTAAGACTTTTACTCAAGTAATATTCTAAACGGTGACTTCAACTTCTACCAAAGTCATTTTCTGGTAAGATATCTGTACTTTTACTTGAGTATGGCTTTCAGGTACTTTATACACCACTGGTTAATTCTGATGGATGGGTGTGTGTGTGTCTCAGGCTCATCTCGTAAGGAGATCACTGAACACTGGGAGTGGCTCGAGACAAACCTACTCCAGACTCTATCCATCTTTGACAACGACGATGACATTACCACCTTCGTCAAGGGCAAAATACAGGTGCGATTTGATTTCATTTTTATAAAGTAAAGAGACATATTGAAACCATTAAATTAGGATTAATTAATTTCTTCACAGATAGTTAATTATAGTAGCTCCTCAAATCTTAATCTAGGTCTAAATGTTTCTTTGAATAAGTATTACAACTCTCTCTTGCTTTTTGTTCATTGCTAGTTTAACATTTTTATTTTAAAAAAAGGAAGTAATCCTGATGAGAAATGGGAATATTGGTTGTACTTGCTTTTTTGACGTACAGAATATGAGACTCGCACTGCATTTTCATGCTGGAGTTTGAGGCAAAATAAACTATATATGCATATATGTATATGTATATATATACATACATACATGCATTACAGTAATGACTTTTATAATATTACAAAAAATTCTATTTCAAATAAATGCTGTTGTTTTGAACTTTATATTCATCAAAGAATCCTGAAAAATAAAATGTATCTCTGTTTCCACAAAAATACAGAGCAGCAAAAACTGTTTTCAACATAAACTCTTTTCAATACTAATGCAGGATTGGTGAGCAGAAAAGACTTCTTTCAAAAACATCAAAAAAAAAAAAAAAATCTTACCAACCCCAAACTTCAACTTGTTGTTCTTCGTAGGGCATCATTGCTGAAGAGAATAAAAGTGGCAAACCTCAGGAAGAAGACGAGGATCCCGGGAAGTTCCGTGAAGCCGAGCTGAAGATGCGTAAGTTGTTCGGAATGCCGGAGGAAGAGAAGCTGGTGAACTATTACCCCTGCAGCTACTGGAAGGGCAGAGTCCCGCGGCAGGGCTGGATCTACCTGTCTGTAAATCACCTCTGCTTCTACTCCTTTCTGCTGGGAAAAGAGGGTGAGATACATGCATACTTGATGCATACTTCAAAATGTACAGTGGAACTAAATTTGTACAACAAAAGAAAATAGAACACAACTAGAACCACAACAAACAAGCGTCATTTTTTGGATGTTTTTTTTAATGAGTTTAAAAAAAAAAAGTTTTCCTTGTTTGTATTTATATTTTTTTATATATATATATAACGTGTGTGTGTGT